CATCGATTTTCACGTGAATCTCATATATCTTATTTGATCATCAGATTTCTCATTATAGGTTTTCTCAAGTAAATATATTCTATTCTTGAAGATAATAGATTATTTCTAGTTTATATCTAATTAGTATTTCGTAAATTTTATTGAAAGAAAAATATCGATTTAGATTCTTCGAAAGATATTTTCAAATATTCTCTGAAATTATGAATATCTTCGTTTCGGCATCTAGATTTTTGAATTCTAAAAATCATTGAATCTCTATTTGATAAATCATTCATTTGTTATTTATTCTCTTCTGTTTTCGAAGAAATTAATTCATAAATTCAATTCATGAATAAAATTCGTATTTTTATTTCTTTTTTGATCTTTGAGATATATCATTTATATAGATAATTCTGAAGAGATAAAAGATTGATAAAGAATAATGATCTGAAATATAGATGAAATATTTGAAGATAATAAATCTCTTCTTCTATATATTCTTTGAAATTTATTCTGAGAATCTATTTAATATCTTCTTCTATAGGCGAAAGAAGATGATCATTTTTTCTTATATCTATCATAACCTATAATTTTTTATGAATCATAGGTTATGAAATATTCTAGTCATCATTAATCGATTTCCAATCGAATATTTTCTATTGGATGTAATGATAAATATCTCTTCATCAAATCTCTTCATCAAATCTAAATCAATAATTTTTCATATAAAAAGATAATTTCATAGATTCTGAATATTAAAGGATATATATCTTATTCGATCAAATAGAGAAATAATATATATAAGTTTTTCAATTTCAAATATCTAAATCAATAATTCTATATATATAAAGCATATAGATTCGGATTTAGGATTTAATCTTAAAGCCTTCTCCCGACCACGCCGGACCCCAAAACCTATTATATATATTAGATAGTCCCCGTCGATCTTATCAACCATAAGATCAAGAAAATGAAGAAGATAGAGAATTTGAAGTAGACAATTCGTAAATATAGATAAAATCAATAGTATAAAGATAAATAGATTCCTAAATATATATATATAAATGAATATTCATAGAAAGATAATCAAATAAATAGATAGATATATAGAGAGATAGATAGATAGAGATATATATAGAAAATAAATAGAAATCGATAGATACATAGAGAAATACAGAATCTAATCTAATCTCTTAGGTCTTCATGATATGATTATTGCCAAAATTTCTATATCAATATGATAGAAGACGCGGAGCCGAAGATTTTCGAGAAATTCATTCTTTTTCTATGAACATCAATTTTCCGAATTCTAAGAAATTTGAATGATTATTATCAAATAAATTCTTGAAATTAAGCAATCTAAATATCATAAATTTCTTTTATTCTATAAAGATAGTAAATCTCATCTATCGAATCTTTCGACGATAGAATCAGATATATCATAATAGATAAATTCTCTATAAAGATATATATGAATATATATCTAAGATAAAAAGATGAACGAAAAGAAATAAAAATCGATAGAGAATCTCAGAGAGAAATAATTGCATATATAGATATTTCCTAAAAATCTCTTCAAATCTTCAAATATCTCATTATCCAAAATTCTTGATTCAAATAGCTTAATATCAATTCTTATCATAATATTTAATTCATATGTGAAACAAAAAATCTTTTTTCTATAAATATTTCCTAAAAAGAAATTTCAAAATAATACCGAATTATAGAGAATATATATTTCAGAAATCTAGAATAAAAGAAATTATTGAATTATATTTCTAAATCTAGATTTTCTTTATTTACGACACCATCATGATTCAGAATCAAACTTAAATTTTCTCGAAAATAATCAAAATCCTCTCGATTTCAAAATATTTTCTAATCCCATTATATCTATAGAATTTCACAAATAATATAATATCAGAGATAAATCATCAGAAGAATAGATCGAAATATATCGAAATTATCAGATCTATGATTTATTTATTAGAGTGGACCCGCTGCTAATAGCAGCGGAGCATTGTCATTGGAGTGTATTCGTAACGGCAAGCGAGCTGATATAGAAGAAAGAAATATGTAGAGCTCCAAATCCTACGTCCTTATAATTTGATATCCTGAATCCTAAACAAGCGTCGATATTTTGAAGCTGAAGGCTACCAAGCTAACAACAATTGAGGGAACTGCGTACTTGGGAATATTGCCATATCTGTCAAGTTGCTCCTCCAAGATATAGGCGCCCATCTCGAGGCATTCCCTTCCAGCCCAAGGATTTGGAGAGACGTCTCAGAATCTGACGATTTTTTTCCCAGGCAATCTGATTCTATTTCTATCATCCGTTTTACGCATGCCTATCATATCCCTCTAAGGACATATGAAGCTCAAATTTCAATTCGAAACCCGAATCGTGATGGGACTCTGCTTCCCTGATAGACAGAGCTGGGGGCTATATTTCCTTGATATTTCATGAAATATCCGTGTCATCGCTGCCTATCTTGCGAGAGAGTATCGTCAGGTCATTCTATAAGAAGCTATCATAGCGGATGATATTCTTGCTAGCCGCGGCCGTTTTTCTCATTGATCAAAAACGGCTAATCTATAGATTCTCAAAGATTTTAGCTTTCCATCTCGGATCTGCAGATTCCGCCGAGCCGCTACGCAGACAACCAAAGAAAAAGAAATAATTCGAAATCTCGGGAGATTTTTCGTTCGTGCAACCCAAGATCTCCGACTTGATCTTTCCGCTTCATTTATCTCTCTTGGACTAGTTATTGCGCGGCGGATCGGAGGAGCTCATAAATGCCCGTAGATAGATGCGGTCAATCTATAAATTCTGAAAGATTTGGATCCTCCGTCCGGGGCCTGTGCAGTCCGCCGACCAGGCACGCATATAATCAAAGAAAGAGCTCGGGGCGGGAGGGCGGGGAGGGCAAGGACCGCAGATAATCAAAGAGAAATGATTCGAAATCTCGGGAGGCTTTTTTATCCTGCGGCCCAAGCTCTCCAGCCCAGAATCTCTATTTCATTTATCTCTCTTGGGCTAGTTGATGAATAATGGATCGGAGGAGCGTATGATAAATGCGGCTAGCACGGATTTAAATATGCCGTCGAATAAACATACGGCCAAATAGAGAGAGAGGAAGTACGTCAAAACCCGTTCCGGAAAGAAGCGCCGCACGACCAAAAATCTCCGAGATTTTTGTTCGCACCATCTTCCCCAAAAATCTCGGATATTGCTCTAGCTTTTCTGAAAAATTCTAAAACCTCCGAGATTTTAGAGTCCCTTTTGAGTCCACAATAAATATTTTAGAAGAGAGCCGGAAAATTTAGCTCGCATCTAATCGAAAGGATCATAAATATTCGCTCCATGATATTTATATATAAGAAAATATATTTATTTTTAATTTTTCCTCAAATTAGAAAATCTCAGAAATCTCGACTATTTATATCAAAGAAATATTATATAATATTAGAATTCCGAGAGAAAGAATCAAAAAAATATATTTTTTTTCATGTATATATAGAAAATGAATTTCAATATCTGATTCAGATTATTGAAATTTCTATCAAAGCATATATATATCATTATATCTTGCTCATCTAGAATAAGAATATTTCAAATCTAGAAATTAGCATCCAAAATCCGAAATGACCATGATTTTTTCAATCTCCCTATTATAAATATATTTATCGAAATTGACCTTCATATGTATGTATAAGAAATCAATGAAATTCAATATTTTTATTCGATCAGAGATAAAGATTTGATCTCTCTCAATAAGATCTATCAATTCATATTAATTTTATGCGAGACGCAGGTGTCATCAATCTATTCGTTTGAATCGGCATGGCTGTGTTACGTTCGGGATCCGTATAGTATAATATTGGGCAAGGAGGGGATACGGATCGAGACACGAGCGTTATTGGAATGCGGTCGCCTTTGTAGATATAGATTCAGCTCCCGCAACGCCTGCGGATTTTTAGTTCGGCGTTCGGAGAACATTAGAGTTAAGTCGGTGATCCGGAATAGAAGTCGACTAGGCGAGCGTCTCGCGCGTTAATGAGCTGATAGCGGGCCTCTTTGATCCTGTTTGCGAGCTGCACCGGCGGGTCCTGGAAGCCGGCTGGCGTAGCCCATCCAGAGTCAAAAATTTTGACCCTAATGATAATGAAATACGTATCATCGTGAATCTCCTTCGTTAATCAATGCGTCATTTTCGAAAAAAATCAAAACTTAATCTGATCTTAGGTAATGTCCCAGCAAACGCAGCCCAGAGAAAAAATCAGAAAGAAGTCAGGCTTTAAACCTTCCCAAGTAAAAGCAGTCGAACGACACGCTGTTTGCAAACATTGTCGCTTTTCCCTGTATTTTGGAGCTCACTTCCCCCAAAAAAGGGCGGGTTTTTCAACTGCCAAGTAGACATGAATCTCCCCAGGTAAACGCATCAAGGCCCGACCTGGCTTGAAGCACTCCCACAGTCACTGCTGGTATTCACAGAAGCGGCCCGACTTCAACCGGGCGCAGTAGGGTTTTTTTGCATCGGAGCACCCCACAGCTCGAAAAGGTAAAGCTTCCTCTTCTAAATTCTGATGTCCTTGGGCGGCTATCAAAATTCTCGGCTTTCTGTATGACCTAGCTGACCTAGTGGTTAAAAAGAGAAGCATCATCTTGATAAAACACTTTCTATCAAACCAGACATACTCCCATATCTTGCCAAGAGCGCGCGCCACTCCTGCACGATAATAAACCGACTAAGCATATGATCCATGAATCCCCTCAAGTTCTCATTGAATATGACTACAGTAGATCAAGTAGATCACCATGAGATAGGCACAACAACGATTTACATACGTTGAACTTAGGTGATTCCATCTCAGTCATGAAACTCAGGCTATTTCCGAAGGCTCTCCATGAGTTTATCGGATGAGCGCTGGAAAGGATTGCGGCATGTTCTGACGCAGCCAAACGCGCTGAATGATGGCGCACCCTGGCAAGATTGTTGCAAGCCCGCCTTTGGCGGAACCTACTCATCACCCAGTAAGTACGAATCCAAGAAGCCTTTGACGACCTGCGTCAAGTGTGGCAACAAACGCTTTTTTACTGTGGTATTGACCTTCTCGAAGCCGCCCAAGCTTTCCCTGATCAGATTCTTGATGGCCTCTTCGTCCCCGGGTTCTGTCGCACTTGCATTGGCCACGTTAATGCTTTGGAAGTTGTTCTTCAGCATTACCAGGACATTGTCCTCTTGGCGGAGTTTATCAGTCAGCTCTGTCGCTGCGCTATCCGGGAGCACGACATCTGGTTCAATACCCTGCTCGACTGAGACATAAGTCTCGAATATACACCAAAGGCGATGGATATAAACTGGATTCAGGTAGTCATCCAAGAAAATGATCATTTTGCCAATGGAAGAAAGGTTGGACTCGAATATCGTCTTAAGCTCCGCAGTGCTGATGGCATCCGAAATTCTGTACTGATTATTGCAGAAGAAGCACATCCACAGAAAAATATTCTCAGCTTTCACATCTGACTGTCGGCACCAGTTCCTGAGAGCTCCACTCACATGCTGGGGGGTGTATCGCCAGCACCAGGACACAAAGTGAGTGGCCCTCCCACGGTACCTGGATCGCAGGACAGTTTAGGGATAATCTCCTCCTCTAATAATAACCCCCCCTGCCTCCCAATAATGAGCACCGCCAATGCAACACCATAAGGGGAACATCATTTACTATTTAGGGGGAAGGGGATTACGCATGTTGCGGAGCCCCATGCACAAGTCTCAAACAAACTAAGCCTCCGCTGCACGTCCCCTGAAGTCCTGAATGTTATGTGTGTTCTGCGTCTATTAGATGCTTTAGGGTTTAGGGGTTTAGGGTTTAGGGTTCAGGGTTTAGGGCTTCCCCTTTACAGTAAAAGTTGCCACATTGAGTAATAGGAGCGGTACTTACCCCTTAATAGGATCTGCTTAAGGACAGATACTGCCCGGGGAATGACCGAATGTACCTACTTCAGCTTTCTAAACCCTAAATAGTATTTTCCATCCTATTTTCCACTATCTCGATATAACCCCAATATAAAACCCTTATATAACCCTATAACATAGTTCCCATTTTCTTTTCCATGATCCCAGTATTACCCCAATATAACCCTAATAATATCCCAAGGGGTCCCTACACCCTAAACCCCAGTATAACCCTAATATTACCCGGCCCTAATGGGCCCCTTAACCTCAAACCCTAAAGCATGGTTGGAATTGAGGCTGTCAAACCTTGCCATGCAAATCCAATCCGTGGGCTTGGAGAACACAGGGTGTAGGCTTTAAGGTTTGGGATTCAGGATTTAGGGTTTGGGGTTTAGGATTTGGGGTTTGACCGCAATCCAGATGGCTGGATGGCATCTGCTTGTCCACCACCAGGGGGGTAAGTAGGGGCCTGGCTCCGCCACTCAAGGTTTTTTTAAGGGTTTAGGGCCAGTCTCTCTTGGGCTTTACAATACTTAAGTCTAACTACCCACATAACCCCAAGTCCCTATATAAACTACAGCCAAGATTTCCCAAGATGGTTAATGGACATGGGTTCTGTATTAGGGAGTTAGGGGACTATACTCAACTACAAGAGAGACCCCTATGTTCACTGGTAAGGGTCCCTTTACAAGAATAGTCGTGGCTGTAGCTCATATGGGGTTGAATATCTAAGCCCCCCCGCACAAAAGACGCTACCTTTTACAGAAATGAAAGCGTTGTGCAACTTTTTCCGGATACGTCTGATCCACAGCGTCCACGCCAGCGCAACCTGATGGTTTCCATGAATAGCGGCACCATATAGACCCAATACTAGGGTTTAGGGCTTAGGGCCCAGTATAATTACTACTCCGCTTCATATGTTCATAATTCCCCCCAAAAAAGCAAAGCTACCCTAATCTAAGTATCTGTAGTTCACGATGCAGCCCAGTTATCATTTCATGTTGCATTTTCTTTTCCACTAGTTCTGCGCTATGCGCAGTTTGGAAACCACACCTGATCATAGACATCACTTATCCCTATACCAGGGCGTAGGGTGCAGGCTACATCAAATTATATAAGCCCACATATCCCAAACCCTCAGCCCCCAATCCCTGATTTTGAGGAACGCCCACCTTGTCCATTGTCTCTGGGACAACAGAGCTTAGCTCCCAGCCCAGTCTCCTTGTCGAACATCACCACAGAGATCTCTGCGAAACCTATGAGGACACTTCATTACCTATATTATATAGGGACTATATGACCCATTGTCCAAACTCCTGGCATCCCCCTTAATATCCCCTACATAACCCCCTTTAAGGAGTTCAGACTATAGCTCATAGAGGGATATGTCAGGATCCCTTTAAGAAGAGGGCTATAGGTATTGGGGTTCAAAGCAGCGGTCCTAGGGCCTAAATAATTTCCAGTAAGGAGACTCAAGCAAAAAATGGAAGATGGAAGGGGAAGGGTGTGTATGTGGTGGATTATAGCTTGTTTCATACAGAGTCTTACATAGACACCTGTGGGGAGTCTAGATAATTAATTACCAAGATCATGCCAGGATTCTGCAGAGAATATCTGGGGCTAACAGGATAACCCTAAACCCTAAATAATGAGCCCTATGAAACCCCCTATATAATTCCCTATGGAACCCCCTTTAAGGAGTCTAGACCATAAACCCTAACTCAAAAAGGATTGTATTAGGTAGTGTTATTTCGGAGGAGAAGGGAAGGCAGGGAACTACCCGGAGGCCGAGGATGAGCCAGTGCTGTTAAGGGTCTAAAGTTTCTGGCTTAGGGGTTCTGGTCGGTTTGGAGCCGTAGCACGCTCAGGCAGTCGGTAATTTGCATGAATAGGGGGACACCTTTTTGACCCCAATGTACAAGAATGATTCGTATAGGTACTTTCAACGAGGGACCCTCTAAATTTTGGAAACCCAGCATTCAAATAGCGTTGTCTGACGCTCACCCGGAAACTCTTTGAGGGCCCAGCATCACCAAAGCCTAGGCCCTTTGGGGCCGTCGCAGTGATGTATCTGAGGAAGGGGTCCAGGACGTACGCAGCCGAAATGCCGGCTTTTTCAGACTCCTCTTTCCTGGGTTGGGCTAGGGATTCTTAACCCTAAGCCCTAATCCCTAAACCCTCTGGAAAAATCAGAGCACACGGACCCCGAAGCGAATGAGGAAAGCTTTGACATTGCAAAGATGGACCCGAATATGCTACATAGCCCTTATTTAGGGTTCAGGGTTTAGGGCTTAGGGTGTATGGCTTATATTGTCCCTATATACCCCAATGTAGTATAGTTAGTAGTTTCCACTTTCTTTTCCATTATCCCTAAATACCCCACCTAGTCTCAACACCTCGCGGGCCGCTGCTAGTCGAGGGGTCCAGGTCTGCTGAAACTGTTCCAGCTGGATCTTATACCTGTAGTCTCCTTAGACCTATAATAAACATAATAATTTTTTAATATTTGCTTAGGGTTATACTAAAAACATAATTCCTAACGACAGTACAGATACTGGTCCAGGATACACCTTGCACCTTCCGAAGCAAACCGGTGGTCAGCTGCAAAATCTTTTAAAACAACCAATTTCTCCGCAGCCGCAGGAACAAGATATATCTTTCCATCGAAGGAACACATAGACTCAAACTTTTCATCTTGATCAGGATCGCTGACGGCAGAAAGATTAATGCCAGCTCCCATGCATGTGACGGGGTCATAGAAAAACATCTTCCCTGCGTTGTATGGAGCTAGATATACCTTGCCGCCGCTTACGCACATGGCTCGAAACTTTGCGCTCGCAAAAGGGTCCGCCGCATCTGAGATGTCAACCGCCGTCCCTGTGCATGTAGACGTGTCATACACAAACATACGTGGCGCGCAGCCCGGAGCGAGATAGATCTTGTTGCCCACGGTACAAAAAGAGCGGAATTTGCCCTGCTGGACAGAGCCCGCAGCAGCGGAAATGTCAACACCAGTCCCAGAACCCGTGATAGGGTCATAGACGAACATCTGCGGCGCATTCCGAGGAACGAGGTAGAGCTTACCGCCAAATGCACCAATTTCACGAAACTTGCTAGGCTGGCTACAGTCGACTGCAGCTGAAACATCAACAGCTTTGCCTTTGCCGGTGCGAGCGTCATAGACAAACATCTGTTCAGCATCGTGCGGGGCAAGGTACACCCTGCCATCAGCCGCACACATGGAAAAAAACTTGCCCGTCTCAGCCGACCCAACAGCATCTGACACGTCAATGCCGGTACACGTGCTGGTGCACGGGTCGTACTCCAACATTTTCCCAGCATTGAAGGGAGCAAGGTAAACCTTTCCGCAAGCCGTGCAGATACAGCTAAACTTTTTGGGCTCCTGCGCATGTGCTGCTTCTGAAATATCGATGGCAGTACTGTGGCCGGTGGCCACATCATGTACGAACATTTTCTGGGCACTGCTCCAAGGTGGGAGATAAACTTTCCCATCTGCTTGGCAGATGGAATTGAACTTCCCAGCTGCCCCCGTTGCGTCTCCAAGCGCCATCGAAATCTCCACGCTCAAAACATCTCCTGTTGCCGTATCATAAACGCACATCTGCCTGGCATTGTATGGGGCCATGAAGATTTTTCCGTCCACCTCACAGGCAGCGGAAAACTTCTTTTTTGTATCGCTCTTTGCAATGGTTGAAATGCCCTTGAGCTCCCCAACTTGAGGTGCCGATGCGCCGCTTCCCATGGCTTGGACGGTCCCATGAGTGGGTTCAGGGCTTGGGGGTAAATGACACCCAAACTTGGGTTCAGCTCTTACCTAAAACTGCCTCGTCTGGGCCGCGCAAGAAGTTCTAGGAAAACTGCAAGTTCCCCTCTCAAGTCCTTCAAAGTACAGCCATTATCCCTTTATATCCCCCTAAACCCTAAACCCTATATCACCCCTATATAAACCTTTGAACAGCCGCAGCCTGACAGTACTTAACACATACGGGAGTTTCTCAAGCTGGGGGACTTAGGTTCTCCCTATGTAGCTTTTTGTATCATATATGGGGATATCTTGACATACTGGAACTTAAAATGGAAGCTACTACAATGGGGTTAGAAAGGGTTTAGGGGTTAAGTTCTCCCTATGTAGCCCTAATTCAACATCGATCTGCCTGAAAAGCCGAAGAAGGTAACCATGACTTTGAACACAAGAAGCCCTGTATAGTCCCAATATATTATATAACCCCTATCTATCCCAATGTACTATATAATCCCTATGTAGACCCATTACTATATGCGCTAGATCTGGCTTGTCAGTGATGAGCCTGGGCAAATCGCAGCTGCCGACATGAAGCACGGCCATGCTCATGACGAGTATCATAGGCCCTTTAAGGGGTGTAGGGATGTATAATGTTCGCGGATTAGGATGTGTTTCCTTTTCCGAGAAATTCGTCGTGACGTCCGAACTCAAGCCCACAGCGAACGGCATCTCTCAGAAAAACATGTTCGAGCATGCGCATGGTACTAACCCAGATCCCCAGAGGCATCTAAAAACTAGATCCCCTAAAACCATGTTAAGAAGTCTATAGGGATTCTCGAAGGATTGTTATTAGGAGCTTGTTGGGGATCTACTTTTCGGATCCTCCCAGGGGTCTGGGAAATGAGAAGAGTGTAAGACATGCATTGGGGAGGCCAATTAGTAACAGTCATCAGCACAAGACCAACAACTGAAAAACACAGGACTTCTTTGTCTGAGCATCAGATCCGTCACCTCCAGCTGGGTTTCGGGTTTGGGGCGTATTTGCGGTTGACCTGTAAGGAACCGCTCCTAGGTGTGGCTCCAATTCACGCTCAGGCTCACACGTTGTACCCGACACATCCTGGAAAGCCATCTAGGCAAGGTAATTCCTCATACGTGCTTCACATTATCTAAAGCTAGGAACCCAATTAAATCCTCCATCAGGGACCGCGTTTTTTCAGTCATCCAGCTCCAGCGTTACCCGGCGGACATATGGTACACCCGCGGGTGGAAGGTGATCTGCGGAACTCCTCTTGTCTGAGGGGGCACGGGCCCGCGTGCCTCAGGGCACCAGGATGCACCAGGCATTCTGCTACTTCTGTGAGCAAGAGGAATCAGGGTCTACCTCAGTAGGGACTAGATAAAGTACCACATCAATCCCAGTTGGCCTAGCTGATGACCAACATGCACCAAACCAGCCCCACTTATTCTGCCTTACTCAGCCTGGTCCCTTGCTTGACCAGACCCCTGCACCTTTCACCGCCCAGTCCCCTAAAATGCTCCAGGCCACAATGCAATGCGCAGCAACCAGGGACATGGGAGTTTGGGGTTTAGAATACATTCATTTCACCCTAGTGGGATGCGATCTCTGGCTCAGAGAGGGGCCTGATCTTCTTCCAGAACTCTCCAGGGCTTACTGCATTCCCACTGCAAAATGAACAGCCTCACCTAATGATAAAGTAAGATAGTACTGTTGATGGAGGAAATCTTGCACCACCTTAAGTCCCTAAACTACTGTAATTCCTAGGACTTTAGGGACTCAAGGTGGTGCAAGATTTCCTCCATCAACAGTATTTCTACTCTTCTTCAGAGGGTGGTACCTTGTTTGGGATCTCAGGCACGCATGGGCATCACGAGGGAACTATCTGCTTGTCTTCAGCAACTCTCAGCTGAGGATTAATATGGTTTAGGGTTTAGGGTTTAGGGTTAATGCTGGCGGCTTCGCTGCTGCTACGGCCATTCTACGGCTTGTTACATGAAGGACATCTCCGTCTTCAGCGCAGCTTAAATCACATTCCTCTTGTGTTATGGCCATGATGAACCCTTCTCAAACGTTGTGCTGTAGAATCTTTCTGACATGTACTAGTTGCAGTGAAGGCGCAGATGTTCTTCTAAAACCACTGACCCTAAAACCCGCAAACCCTAAGTAATTAGTCCCAAGCCCCCGCACCGTCCTAAGCCCGCAAATTTCCCTCAGTCCTGGTCCTAGGACTCCAAACCCTAAGCCTTAGACCCTTACCCCTGATCCCCTTAACCCGATAATTTGTGGCTTATCCTAAGCCCTGCCTGGGAAGAGGGTTTAGGGTTTAGGGGGACCCAGTTTGGGGGGGTGGGGGGAATGTTTTCCCCCAGACCAAAACTTTAACCCTCAAACGTGGAGAGGATCCCTCAACCCTAAACCCCCGATTGGTGTCTCAGGCCAACACTTCTATCTGCGGCATCTTGGCTTGCTGCTTTGGCAAGGCCCGGAACCAAGGGAGTTGATGGCAACTCACCCCATAGCATGTCCTCAAATTCAATTGGGGGGTTCCCAAAATTAGGGGTACCTTTTTGGGGTTCCTATAATCAGGATTATAATATTTTGGGGTCTATATTGGGGTCCCCTGATTTTGGGAAACTACCAATTGTTCTTTTTGAAGCCAGCGTAAAAGTCTGCAAATGTATGTTTAGGGTGTTGGGTTTTATGATAAAGGGGCGGTAAAGGTTCACATGTTTGGGATCCTTGAAGCCCCCACTAATACAAAGGGACTGCAACAGGGCTTTAGGGGTCCTTGCTTGGGATTGGGGATGAATTTGACAAACTCCATGATAGAGCTGTGCGCAGAGATTTGATCATAGCACTGGGCGTCGGTTCGAACAAAACTTAGGATAGGGACATCGGCGACATCCGTGGTTGCAATTGAATATACGCATTATTATGACATAGGTTGTAAACAAATATATATACATATATATATATATAGGTTCGCTCTCTTTATTGAGGACTAGAATGCCCGTAGTGTCGCATTGGATGAAACTACCCAAATGTGTCTAATGCTTCGGGGTCTCAACCCCCCAGCCGCAGCTTAAAAGCGCCACAAGAAGACAATCTACCAACTGCAAAGCAGTAAACAAATGAAATTAACCCTCCCCATCCCTAATAACATCTCCCATTGTGGTATATGAGGACATGTGTATATTCGGAATCTTTAATATTCAGGGGGTGGGGGATTTTATACCAGGGGAGGGGATCACCCTCAACGCTCAACCCTACATCTACAATCCGAGAAGCAGGTGACGCCAGGCTCGGTGGCGGAGGCTTCCACGGCTGATCTGGGGATTTGGGTGGGTTTCGGGTTGCCTTAGGGTTTTAGGGATTTGGGTTTTGTGGCTTGGGGTCTGCGGGTTTGAGGGCTTGTACGTTCAGGAGCTCTAAACCATGAGCATCTTTCTTGACCCTACTGCATACACTTTGGGGCTTTCCATCGGGAACATCATTGGACCCTCATTTTCGAAAAATGGTGACCTGCATTCTGTGAAGCATGTGGTCCTTCGGCTGCAGGCAGTGGGGGAGGGCCGTCGGAGTGTACGGGCCAGGCATTATCAGCCGTGCTTTGGCGCATGGCAGCTTTCTCTGCTTGCGCCGGAGGCTTTGGCGACATCTCTCGAACTTCACAGGTTGTCGAGCGCTGCTCCCGCTCAGCTTGCCTTCGCAGATCACGAGGCATGGACAATCGCTCGATTAAGCTTGCAACCTTCGGAGTTACGTTGGAGGGCATCTGTTTGACCTCCGTGTAGAGCGGAGCCTCCTCCCTTTCCCTGGCTTGGCTGGTGTGACTGGCATGGCTGGCGCGGCTGGGGGTTGGGGGCTCATCCAGATCTTTGTCTGGCTCCCCAAAATGAGTCGGCAGGGATGGCGGGGCGAAGCTAGCACCTTCAGTTGCCTGTGTCAAGTCCTCTAATGGCTTGACCTTGGGTGGCGGCGGGGAACATGCCGAAGCTGCAGGGAAGCTGATTTGCTCTTCCTGTATCTGTTGCCACACGACCGCTTCAAGCGCCAGCTCCGCCTCCACGACATCGTCTGCAGATTGGTGTGCTTCAGCCTCGCCACTGTTGTCTTGATCTCGCGCAAGGTGCGTCAGCATCTCCACAACATCTTGATATTGCCTCCTCTTTGAGGAGACTCGGTGAAGCTTTTCGCTGTCTGCAGCAATGCGCCCAAGAAGCTCCTGCCGCTGCGCATCAACCTCACACAGCTGCTGATGCACTGTGGTAACCATGGTAGTGTGCACCTCACTTGTCCCAGCAGCTTCAAGAAGCTTCGCCCATAGCTCTTGCCGCCGAAGCGCCCCAGCGGTGTGAATATCACCCTTTCTTTCTTGCAGCTTCTGCGCTCGACTTCGAATGGCCTTTATTTTGTCACCTGCTTGCCGCACCTCTTGTGACAACGCATCCCAGCGTCGATTGCACGCAGCCTCCGCGCGCTGCAACTCTGCAGTTGTCCTTTCAGCCCGCAGCAATGCACGGAGAATCTCCGAGGACTCTTTCCTAGTGAGTGTCTCTCTGCAACTGACCGCATCCCGCCAGCGTGCCAGCTCCTGCAGGGTACGAAACCCTGAGGGGCCTGCATCGTCTGGACCCTGTCCTTCTTGGTCAAGATCCTCCAGCGGCGCCAGACATGCGAAATCAGCTAACCTGCTGCGTAAATGAACTGCGTGCGCATGGTCTGGATCAACTCCAAGCCCCTCCGCCGGGTTTGCTCCCGTAAACATGCCAGCATTGGTCAGGTGCTCCGCTTGGCTTAGCAAATCCACCAAACGGCCAGCTGGGTGGTTTGAAGTTGGGCGTATATTGCTACGCCCACCTGCATCTGGAAGTCCGGCATACAAATTTTCTAGGTGTCCCACGGTCTTCTCCACTGCAGGCAGGACAATATCAAAAAGCTGCTTCTTTTTGCGGCTTTGGCCATCATCGACATGGCCACCCCCATGACCCATCCTCATAATCCCTCCAGCTTAGGCCTCAAGTGGCTCATGGTGCTGTGCAGAATCCACAATGCTCCTTTTTCATGTACCAACCTCAACAAAGAGTGAACAACTCTTCTCAAAAAGCCCTGACCGATGTTGCAGACCGTGTACATAAAAGTTAAAAGACACGGCTGTCCCCACCAGCGACATCAGATACGTAAAATGATCCCGAGTTCGAGGGGCCCTGGCGCTAGGCGATATATTCTAGGTTATATCCCCTCAATGGGTATATATGGTAGTTTCCCCAAATAAGAGAACCCCAAAAAAGTACGCCTAATTTTGGGAAACCCCCATACCTCTAAACCCCAAACCCTAAATCCTAAACCGACATAATTCTTTATAGGTACTTACTGAACCATTAGTAACTGGAGGATGACAGAAAGTCAGGATCAAGCTTTGGGACTCAGAGTAAGGACCAGACCACCCTCAGACTATAGCAAGTTATAGTAGATGATCTCATACTGTTGATGGAGGAAATCTTGCACCACCTTAAGTCCCTAGAGTCCTAGGAATTACAGTAGTTAAGGGGATCTAAGTGGTGCAAGATTTCCTCCATCAACAGTATTATCGTGTATTCTACGATATCCTAGTAGATTCTAGTATTTTAAATATGGTATGCTGTATTAAGGATGCGTTAAAGCATGTCAGAGTATATTATGATAGATTATAGTATACTATAGTATCTTATGGTATACTATAGCATATGATGATATTTCTTATCGTTTATAGTATAAAAGTATTTCGTAATATGTTATAATATGTCATAGTATATCATAGTATATTACAATGTTCTATAGTATTTTATAGTATATTATTAGAGTCACAAGTTTCCTGATATCAGGGTTTAGAATGTAGGGCCTTAGGAGCCACAAGAATGCGGCTGAAACACGGAGAAGATTAATTTCTCACTCGAAGAAGGCCAAAGCAGAGTCCTCTTTCTGGGAAAGCTTTGACACTTTTATCCTACCTTCTCTACTTCCTGACGCACTTTTTGTGCCACTCAAGTTGGCTGTCACAGTAACGCAACGCGTAGCGCAATCGTTGGCGCTCGTTCGGGAGCTTCAGGGGCCGTTAACGGACGAAGATGGGAATGGCTTTTCGGTACTGCCTTGGTAGCAGTTTTTGTGCCATCTGCCTGGCCTGGGTATTCTCCTGGTTTGAAGGTATCTTACGGGGGGTTACTAGGGAACAGGGGAACGTATTGATATATTATGGAGGGAGTATATTCCCTTATTCCCTACTAACAACCAGTAGGGCATACGACACGCAATCCAGCCATTTTGCCCCTGTAAGCTCCCCAGGCTTCTTTCTCAGCTGATGAAGGCAACATGGACTTTATCGAACGCAGTCCCTAGCCGCAAGTCCCAAAAAATGGAGTACATGAGGTGAGAACATTGTGGACACAAGAAACTTGCTGCAGGCATGCTGCGCGGCAAAGGTCATACGCTGTCATAGGCCTTCACCAGAAAACACTACGATGCAGCGCATGTTACGCGAGCCAGATCAAGTGACACACGGGCTGGCAGGCACAATGTGCACCTGAGCATGCAGATAGGCAGAGTGTTTCGCTACGGACCTATATCATTGCTTCTTATTCGAAAAAGAAATGCAGCATCACAAATGATATGTGTGCCGTTCTATTTGCTTACTAGAATCCATATTTAGTGCAATATTAGTAATAACCACTATTGCAGCTATGTGTATACTATGAATGTGAGTCCCACTATGAGGGTTTGGACCGTCGTCCTTTTCTCAGGGCAGGAGCTCTCAATTGGTCTCGACTCCAAGCACTGAAGCCTAGAGGGTAGCTTCAAAAAATGGGGGGGGGGTAGCCTTCTTGTCGGGATTCAAAACGGGGACTCCTACAAAATGTACCTTATCTTCGTGACTCTAAAACAGGGACTCCTTGGTTCGGAGCACCCCCATATTATCCTGACCCTAGTTTCGAAAGGCCAGCACAAAACCAGCAAGCCTTCAGAAATTCAGAAATTCTGCTTTTTAGGGTTGGTTCTAGGGACAAACAAACTGCACGGCCGGGGAGTTTAGGAGCGTACCCTAACTTGGGGATTCCTGATGTGAGAATTCCCGTGGGCACCCACCAGGAAGTCAAACCCATGCATAAACTGAATTGAATTGTACTTCAAAGATCCATAGAATCATTTCTCAATTGGACTTTTTGTTGAACAATGAGGGAAATTATCACTTCTGCCAAAGTGCCATCCAATCAAAACAAAGCCTCACGAAGCGATTCATTGCACTCAAGCCGTATTGCAGGCCGTAGTACCACCACCTGTAGGATGGCACATTTTACCAAATTTGGGTCCTGCGCCCACCCAGAAACAGTCCATCATGGGGGCAACGCTGGGGGCATAGATACTGCAGTATCAAACTATCTGGGTGTTTCCAACAAATTTGTTTAGGGTATATAGGGATGTACAACCCAAATAACAAAGAGTAAGCTCACGAATGGAAATGAAATCAAATGGAAACTGGAGTTATGCAAAAACTCAACAACCAACGCCTTCTCAAAATCTGATAAGGTGTGCCTGAGAAAACCTAAACCTCCAACTACCGTTGAGACAAACATCTCTGCGTGACCCTAGGTACCCTCAACCCTAAGTGCAATCATAGTGCCAGGCAAGATATTCTATTTTGCATCAAAGTATGATCCTCCTCTAGCGCCCATATCCTTCGCGGCGTTCGCATTTTTGCTAATATCACAATGGTTACAGTGGTTATGACTACAAGTACTATTGTTGTTAATATTACTCTTGATACTCAAGCTCCTGCATGACCTTAGTATACCCTAAACCCTAAACCCCAACCCCTAAATCCTAAACCTCTAAACCCTTAGGCCCCTAAACCCCAAACCTGAACCCTTTTTGCATCTGGACTCTTGTGTCTCCGCCAGAACCTTAAACCCTAAACCCCCTAAAACTCTTGTTGGTAGTTTAAAATCATAGGGACCCCACTATGGACTTCCAAATGCTATAACCCTTATTATGGGGACCTCCAAAATGGTTCCCCCCCCCCCGAATTGTCGGAAACTGTTGTTGTTGTTGTTGTTGTTGGACTGACTGAGGTACCGGCTCATGCGGAATCTCGTGATCCCGAAGCTTGAGAGCCTGAGCCTGCAGATGCTGGATCGTTACTAGGGTTACATTACGCCCCCCCCCTTTTGCCCGTGCCAAATGCCCGCTCATCGGAATGTGCTGCATATAGCAGTGTTTTGGTGGTTGTG